CGGGGAGGCTGACCTTTGCGGACGGACGCGCAAGGGTGCCGCACGACTTAGGCAAAACCAGCTAAGTCCGTGTCACAACGTCGGCCAACATTCCTTCCCGAGGGCGCGGCCACCTCATCATCCTACTCACCCCGCAAGAAGCTCCAGACATCGACCTGCGGACCTAACCGTGCTGACTCATCAGCCACGGTACTTTTGTTCACTCACACATAATAAACAAAATCATGCATGAGCTACATGCAACACATATATAATAACTAGATAACAAAGGCGTACATTACACCCGATAGTGCACTCTCCCGACAACAGATAGAGTGGCATATTCCACGGGATGAATTCCTCCCAACAACGGATAGAGATAATACTTATCGCACTCCTAACAGCGGATGGATTGGTATCCCTCACCCGCCCAAGTGGGGACACTTTCCTCTCAACGGCGGATGGAGGAACCGTCTAACCATCACGTCTGACGGCCCGCTAATCCCCGAAGGGAATCGCCATACCTGTCCTAGGCAGGGATACATAAACATCCATGATCATTCATTTATACTCATCTATTCACTTATGCATGCATCAAGAAATCAATATGATTAAATGAGAAAACGTACTTGATGTATAATCTATTAGACTATGTTCATTGGTGGCTCCGCACTGTGATGGGCCGACAGCTCTTTCATATGTTATACTTCTAATGTGAACTACTAGTCTAACCACATCTACTACATGATAACAATCATTTCAATATCATAAACTTAAGAAACGTAAAAAACTAATAATCATTTTCAAATGACATCTTCAGATAAAACCTTTAAATTCATCAAATCATAAAAGCATGAAACATCAATCTCTTAATAGACCTCAATAAACTAAAACCCTAATTGGAAGCTCAATTGACTTAAACCAAACTTAACTCAATTATGACCTAACAGAATCAACCTTAAATTCTTATAGAACCGGTCTGGAATCACCCTAGACTGGTTTAATTTAGATTTGATTGATCTCGATTAGGTCAAGTAGGTTTGAACTAGTTAAGTTAATCTGGAATCACCCTAAACCAGCTTTAACCGATCAAACCTGTCTAATTTAGTTAATTAAACAAGCTCAAACTAATAAAGGGAGAGAAAATTGGACTATGTCGTATAGTGTTATCCCAAACCGAACCAACCCACCTGAGTCTTGGATGGGTCACATGCGCTACACATGTCTATTCCAAGTAATAGGTTGAGTTGAGGTACAACGGGCTAGATAGAGGAGCGACGATGTGTCTAATGTCAATCGCATAGCTAGGCAAGTTTAACTTCATGCACTAGGCTAAGCCTCACTTATAAGTTGTGCTGACCCTTGCCACTGAACTAGGCCATGCTTGGCTCACGAGTTAATCGTACCCAAACTCATGAGTTGGGGTCATATCTGACCACATGGACTGGGTCGTACTTAGCCGCATGAGCTGGCCCATGCCTGGCCATATGGGCTAGGTCGTACCTTGCTATATGGGCTGGGTCATACATGGCCACATGGAATGGATCGTACCTTGTCATATAGGCTGGCTCCTACCTGGCCACATAGGCTGAGTCATGCCTAGTCACATGGGCTAGGTCGTACTTGACCACATGGGCTTAGTCGATCTGGTCTGACAGATCAACTTGACTCAAGTCAAACCCCGATTAGACTCCTCTTATCAAATTAGATTTCAATATTTAAAATTATTAAAGAATAACTCAAATCCATTAATTAAAATTTTAAATTCATGATTTTAAATTTAAGGCTAATTACATTATAGAAATTCACATGTAATTCTTGAAACATAGATATATCTAATTAAATAAATTAGAACTATTATTAGTCATGCTGCTGGAAGCTGTGTTGCCATCGAGCAGGCTATTTGTGGTTTGACTGAGTTCTTGATTATTGTTTTAGACGAAAAGTCAAATCTTCTCTCCGTTGAGATGCCTGTAAATGATATTGGATCACTTTCACCCATGGAAAATAAATCTACCTAATTTGTCGTAGAGGCTCTTCGTAGTTTACCTTTAAATGGTCATGTTCAGTCACTAAATATGATTGGAGATTCGTTTAAGCTATTAACGATGATCATAAACAAAAGATAGTTGATCATGGCAATGGCAAAAGAACTTTATTCGTACATCATTTGAAGGAGTGGATTGATGAAACTTCTTCTAATGTTGATAAATTAATGTCTGCTGCATTTCCACATGTATGTATTATCATCCTCCCTATTATTTGTTTATTTTGTTGTTTTCTTCGAAGTTTCGTTGGTAATGGGATCCATTATTAATCCTCTCATCTGTGACAATAAAGTGGTTCATTGTCATTTTCAGCTTTGTATTCATTCTGTAGAAAAGGTCAGAAAAACACTTGTAGATGGCATACAGGGGCTTCTGTTGAATTGTAGATGCACTTTGCAAAGAAGCAAATTAATGCTTTTGGTGAGTATACTGTGTTAGGTTCAGTTGTGTGTGATCTATTATTATGGAGCAGAGGCAATATGGTTTCTCTCAACTAAAACTTTTCTTATTATGACTTGGTTCAGTATTGACTTTTAATTCTTATATATATATTATTAATTGGCTAGTTTGATTATTTTAAAATCTAACTGCTGTCCTTTCTTTTGTGGCTATTTTATGAATGCTTAAACTGTGCAATGTCATGAATTATATTGTTGTTAATAGTGATAACAAGTAAAATTCGGTGGTTCAATTTTAACAATTTTTTTGATGATCCTGTTCTATACTTCTCTTAGATCTTTGTCTTTGTTTGCCACTCCTGCATTATATTAGCATTGCCATTAAACTTACGTGCAATCATGTTAACTTTTATGGTTCATAATTTCATTTAAGTGATAGTTTAGTTGACAGGAGCATTAGAATAATAGTTTGTGCAGGTTTGCCTACTCTTAACTTTGTTATGCTAATCCTGCATTATATTAGCACTGCCATTAAACTTACGTGCAATCATGTTAACTTTTATGGTTCATAATTTCATTTTATAGTTTAGTTGACAGGAGCTTTAGAATAATAGTATGTGCAGGTTTGTCTCCTGTTGTCATGGTAGTTTGGGTTGAGTTTTATTGCTAATTCCTTTTCTTGTATATAATAATTGCAGGAGTGTGTGTGTGCTGGTTTGTGACGATGCAGATGTTGTGTCCATGGTATCTCAGTAATCCCTTGAATCTTTATTTGTTTTGGGTGAGAAATTTATAACCAAAAATGAAATTTCTGATATATTTACAAGGGTTATTCTCTTATTTGTTAGTTAAGAAAATAGATAATTTTTGTGCTGCTGCAGTGAATCTTACTTTTTCAAGTTATTGGCATCCTCATCAAAGCACTTCCATGTGTGGTTCTTGCAAGTGATGAGACAATTGCTTTGTCACATGCTCAGAAACTACTTTCTCTAGTCTATTATGCAGGTCCGGACCTTTTAGTAAATTACCTTCAGTCTCCTGTAAGTATAGATGTTCACAATTTTTTGTTTCCAAAGAATGTATTATTTATTTTCTGTAGTGTATTGGGACCTTCTTATTTGTGTTTTTGACTTAAATCCTTTGCATGTTTTTATTCTTGTGATAAAATTTTCTTTTATTGACATGACATACAGTGCTATTTAACTACTAAACAGTGTTATTTGTATCTTTTCCCTTTTTTTCTGATGTTTTTATTTCCTTTTCATGTCTAATAATGAACTTGAAAGAGGGGGCAAATATACTTGTTTCAGCCTTGCGAAGGTAATTCAACCCATTTCTACAAATGGTTTGGAGCTTATCTTTTATTAGTGAGGGTGTTTCAATTGTTAATTTGTTGCTTGTGAGATATAAATGAATTCTATAGCCCTTTGTTTTTAGTCAAAGATCAATTAAGAATAAATAGAGAAAACAGTTAGGTAAATGTATTTTTGAGGTAATATAGTTTTTGGCTAGAATAAGGTTTACACTTTCGATCCGTACCAGTGTACCGATCATACTGTCATGAACGATCGTCGCGCACCCGTAACAACTTCGTTCAACGAATCGGTTCGCTTTTGCATGTTTTGCCTTGGTTTTGTGTGTTTTTGTTTGTAAAAATCCATGTTCGAACAGGTTGCAGCGGTACAGTGTGATCTCTCGTTGCGTTGGGCCAAATTGCCCCAAAATGACTCCATTTTTGCGTGCCGCAGCCTGTTTTCTGTAGACCGCAATTGAACGCAAAACGTCAGTCATTTCAGCACCTTGGAACCGCCCGGGTGACACCATGGGGGATGGGGCTTCGGTATAATGTCGGTCGTTGAACAATCTTCACAAGTTCATACGTTAACTTGACAGGAACTTTCCTTCGTGCACGACACCCGGTGAGCATTTATTTGTGGACTTGCAACTGTTCGTTCTACCTTCTAAAAGGCGAGGCCATCACCTTCAGTTCAAGTAGTTTAGAATCCAATAGCGACGATGAGGAGTCGCAAGGTCCCTGAATAGAAGCAATGCATTTGTTGAATGCATTGTGGGGTCAAATGGGGGAGAACATTAAGGCAAAGCCATTGAAAGCAGGGAGTAGCAAGCTGATGTACGTGGACATTAAGCACAATGGTCAATGGTGGACACATGCGCTATCCACAACTTTATTTCCAACCAAAAAGCAAAGCGACTTGGGCTAACCTTGGAGAAGAACCCAAGTCGGATGAAGGCAGTGAACTTGGAGGCCAAGTGGATCGTCGAGCTAGCAAAGGGAGGTCCCCATCACGATAGAAACATGGAGCGGGAGCACAAACATGATGGCGGTGTCATTGGACGACTTTCAAGTGATTCTCGGAATGGAGTTCATGCATGCGATGAAGTTGGTGCTAATGTTGTTCCTAAACTCCCTATGTATGATGGGAGGTAATGACCCCTGTGTGGTTCTCGTCTCTTGAAGAGTAACCAAGGACCCCCAACAAATATCGACATTATAATTGAAGAAAGGGGTATGAAAAGTCGAATCAACATTCGTGGCTGTTGTGAAGCTAGAGCCCCTCTACGGTGAGGTCGTTCATGAATCTACTATGGTGGCAAACGTTTTGAAGGAGTTCACAGATATTATGCCACTCAAGTTGCCGAAAACTCTACCACTACGCAAGGGCGTGGATCATCATATCGAGCTGGTACCGGGAGTGAAGCTTCCAGCGAGACCACCCTACCGCATGTCCTCTGCAGAGTTGGAAGAGCTCAAAAAGTAGTTAGATGAACTGCTAAGCGGTGGTCTCATCCGCAGTTCTGAAGCATCATTCGGAGCTCCAGTTCTCTTCTAAAAGAAACAAGATGGGAACCTCCGACTATGCGTCGACTGTCGAGCCCTCAATAAGGTGACGATGAAGAACCAGTATCCCATCCCACTCATTGCAGACTTGTTCGACCAGCAAAGTATTTCTCCAAACTTGACCTTCGGTCGGGGTACTGGCAGGTGCGCATTGCTGAAGGCGACGAAGTGAAGACTACTTGCGTGACCAAGTCTGGAGCGTTTGAGTTCTTAGTGATGCGTTTCAGCTTAACCAATGCTCTGGTCATATTCTGCACTCTTATGAACCAACTATTCAAAGAGTATTTTGATAAGTTTCTGGTCGTCTACTTGGACGATATCGTCGCCTACAGCCAAACGCTTGAGGAGCATGTCGAGCACCTTCGAACTATTTTCAAAGCTCGCTTCATAGCTGGGTATTCGAAGCGCGCAACTCCACTGACTGAGTTGTTGAAGAAGGAGCAACCTTGGATGTATCTGTTTCTTTTCAGCACTCAATGAAATATAATTCCAGTCTTTTGACAAAACCTAGGAGGTCGATCCCCTCGAAATGATTAAAGAGGCTGATCCCGTCGAAGTGATCATCCCCTTTTCTCCCCTTTCTTCTATGATTAAACTTTAGGGTCTTATCAATAGCGGAGAGGCGGCGGTCAGCTTCTTCGTCGCATTCTTTGTCGAAGGCCGAAGGCACCTGCAACCGAGGTCTGCTGTACTGAAGCGTACTGCCCGTACCGAGGGGTACGTACCGGTCCGACAGGTTACCGGTAGACGGACCGCCCGATACCGCTACAGTGCTACAGTACTATACTGTAGCACTGCTACAGTATGAAAAAAAATAAAAAAAATATTCGGTACACCAGGGCGTACCGCCCGGTACACTGGTACCATATCGTACCGAGCCCGGGTCGAAACGCCGGTACGGTACAGCGAAACTTGCCTACAACCTTCGTCGCATTCTTCATCGATGGCCGAAGACATCTGCTGCCTTCAACATTTTCGCCAAACGCTACATATGAGGAGAAGACCGCGTTCCTCTCCTCGTCTAACATAAGGAGAAGAAAAGGAGGCGACATCGCTGAGGCAGCTTATGCCTCCTTTTTTATTTTTTAATATTTTATATATTGATTTTTATTTTTTTATGTGTCTATATATATATATATATATATATATATATATATATATATATATATATATATATATATATATATATATATATATATATATATATATATATATA